GATAGATAGATAGATAGATAGATAGATAGATAGATAGATAGATAGATAGATAGATAGATAGATAGATAGATAGATAGATAGATAGATAGATAGATATTGGCCCATGACATAATCAATGATCTTTTTATCAACAGATAGGGATGTTTTTGTCCATAAGATCTGCTGTAATTATCACCGTTATTTTACCTAGACCTAGTACAGGGCCTGAAATAGTCGTTGTGTGTCAGCACAGAGCACAGATCTTGACAGACAGCCTGATGGCTCTGTATTAGTTTCTTTTTTTTTCAAATCATGTATTTATGTTTGTTTGTTTGATTGATTGATTAATGATTGATACTTTATTGATCCCAAGGGGGAATTAGTTTCTTTTAAAATAAATATTTCCACAACAACCAATACCATGTATTGTAAGAAACAACACTATCTGTATCTAAGTAAAGGTTTGTGTGAAATAATGAGAAAAAAGCAATATTTCTAGCATTTTAAGTCTTTTTAGAAACAACTCTGCTTGAATGAAAACAATACGTTTCATGTTGGAATACATTCTATGAGCTTTGTCATTCGTTTTATTTTATTTTTTATCATTATTGTGTTTTTATGTTTATTGCTTCCTTAATATTACATTTGTTTTACCTTTCTTCACTGCTGACAACTGGGCCCTCAGTATATACTGTATCTTTTGTTGCTCATGTACTCATTTGGAATGACAATAAAAACTCCTTGAATCCTTGAATTTATAGTTTCCTGCACAGAGACTGAGCCAAGTTGGACTTCTGTCTCTCATTTGTGTTGTTATAAGAAGTGCAGTACTCAAGTCTTGTCAACTTACAGACTGTTGCACCTTTCCACACCACCAAATGAATTAACCCACTGGATGTGACGACTGTTTTTGAGCTAAAAGAAATGTGTGATTTAATAAACAGGCAACATTGAAAAAAAATGTTTGTTTATTGTCCAAACTGACCTGTTGAATCTCATCTCCCTCCTCTCCTCCCTGATGGCTTGGGTCAGGCTGTAGCGTCGCTGAGGAGCTGGGGATTCGTCCCCGACCTCTTCCTCCTCCTCTGCTCCCATCTTCTCATCAAAGCCCTGGATTTTTACCTGCAGCAGCTGCTCTGTCGCCCCTCCACCTCCTCCTCTGCTTCCAGCTGAAAGAGACGGCCCTGCCTCGTCCACTCTTTAAACAAGAACAAAACCACATGCTCAGATTAAAACTGATGCGATCGTGGGATAAATCCCAGCTTAGTTTATTCTTTCTTTGTACTTTACTTTCCTGTAATTTCCTGAAATGTCACTAATGGTTCCCTTTCTGTCTCTTGATCTCTGATTTTTAGCCCTGTTTCTTGTTCCACAAATGACACTCAGCATGTCTGCTAGAAAAGGACTAATGCCCCATTGTTGTCTTTTCCTTTTTCTAATCATCCAAATGTTCTTTAACTAATAAACCACCCGACCTCCGGTCCAGCACACACTGTTCTTGTTTAAAACAGTGTATATCACTCTAACATGCACACACACACACGTACACAAACACATGTGCACAGCATCCTCACACGATATAAAATGTCATTTGTTTTTGAGCATTTTTAACAACTGCTAGAGGAAATCATTATAACAAAAGAATCAAATAGAAACTATTTCACTGACAATAAATGATAACATACTGGAAGTTCCAAACATCTAAATACTCTTTGAAGCAGTAAATAAAGAATAAGCCCCTTTATAAAATGTGATATGTAAAAAATAACCATATTTACTTTCTTTTATTCATTGACTCAATAAAAAAACATAATTAACAACAGAAAAAACAAACAAATGTTGGTCTTTTAGTCTTACTTGAAAACTATAAAAAAAACAACGTGATGACTCAGTTATCTTTAATAGTGCTCTGATCACAGTCACTGTTTGCTGCAGATACTTTTGATTTCTAAAATATGCRAAGACACAAAATAACAGCTGTGATCCATCAACACCACCCACTAAAACAGGCTTCTTTAAAGAACGATACAAGAGTTCTGCTTGCTCTTGTATGCTGGGACCTGCATGTCGACCATCCTCAGCTCTAACTTTATTACAGACCTAACTGAAYGCACGTTGTCATTTCAATATGACTGCTGGTGCTTCTGTAAAGTTCTGAACAAGCTGGTTGAGTTTTAAATAACCCTAACTCAGGATTCTTTGAAGTCTTCATTGGCTTGACTAAATGTTATAAGGGCAAGGGTAATTTTAAATAACCTTTATTCTAATAAAAAACAAGACAGGTTGTCTGGCTCAGGCAGTTTGTCAGCTTTATTTTAGTCACTTTGTTTATACTCTGATTAATGTTCAGGCAATTCATTTGCTACTTAGTTCTATTTATTTGTACTAACCCCACTCTCAGTGTTTTTATTGGCCTTATGAGGTAGTTTTATTGTTCTGAGTTTGAAAAATTATTATTGTGCAACACTACGGTGCAACAATGTTTCATAAAGTGCTTTATAAAATAAACCAACACTGACTGATGTGAAATGAATCCTTTAGATCAGTGTTTCCTAAAGTTGGGGTTGGGACCCAAAGTGGGGTCCTGAAAAGATTTTCTGAATCAATTACATTTTTGCTTTAGTTGTTACAAAGGAGTGAGGTTAGTATATTTAAAATGGATAAATGTAGTATAAAAAATATTGTTACTATGCCCATGTTTTGTTGACCTGATACAAATGTTTATCATCCAAATATAGTTGGGGGCACAGGTCTCTGCTACTGTTATTTTGTGGGTCAAAAGCTGAAAAGTTTGGAACCACTGCACTTTGGTTCCCAAAGTTGGGCTTGGGACCCAATCATGGGTCATGAAGCACCTTGGATAATCTCCAGGAATCAATTTAAAGGGTAATAAAATAATTGATGATGTAATATTTTCCCTATAACTATTACAAAAACACAAAATAAGCATAAATAAGTATTTATATTTGTGTATAAGCTGTTTAGATTGTCAAAAAGCCTGTGTTTTTAGGGTTTTTAACAAAGTTTCCTCAGACCAGTAATATTTGGGGTCACAAGTTTTTGCCATGGATATTTTGTGGGTCAGAAGATAAAAAGTTTGGGAACCACTGCTTTAGAGGAACTGTTCAGTAGCATTACATGTTAGCCTGTTAGCTCATCATACCCCAACGTTTCCAACCTGGAATGAGCGGCAGTGTTTTCCTCCAGTCGACGTGCCAGCAGCCTGGCTATAGCAGCGAAGGAGTTGCTCATCCTGTAGATGTCTTTGCCGCTGCCTCCCAGTAAAGATGGGTAGCGATCCGTCAGAGCTTTGATTTCCAGCAGCAGGGTGTGATGGAAGCAGTGCTCCATGCTGCCCAGGAGAGACACCAGGTAGATCAGTGAGCTGTGAGCATGAGTCTGGGAAAAAAAGAGGACAACAAAGGGCATAAAACTGTTAGTAATGTGATCTGAATTTACACAACCATCAATCATAGAGGAGGTTTACTATGTATGTTCAACCATTTTTTATCAACCACTGCTGAAAGACAGGCACAATAGACTGTAACTCAGTCAATTTTAAAATAAGAAGTTTCAATTTGCAAGTTATTAGCTGAAATCGATCTACAGTACAAGTGTCAAGCTCAAGGCCCGCGGGCCAAATCTGGGCCTTGTTTATATTTTATCCATCCCCAAAAGTGATACTTGAAAAGCAAAATAGTTTTAGTTTTTGCGCCACTGGATTTAGTGCAGCCTTCTCGAACATCAAGCTAACGTTCTAATTACCTTTTATTAGGCGGAAAGAGAGACAGAAAATCAGCTTTAATAATCTTTTCCTGTATTTTCTTCTTATTTTATTTTTTTAACTCTGTATGTATTGGTTGTTTTGCATTATAAAACACATACATAACAACAAAGAACTGAACAAATGTCGGACAAGGGTGTTGCTTACATTCTAATAAGTATGAAGTAATAAATTTCCTTTACAGTCTTAAAGCAGCATATTTAATTCCAAAGGTTAAGCGGTCTGTTTCATTGGTCCTCAAGAGTTGTATTCCATTTCCACCATCTTTTTTGTAAAGATCAGGCTGCAGTCTCAACATGAATGTTAGTCTTTCCATTTTGTGGGTTTCTTTCATTAGATCCATCCAGTCCTTCAGTGTCGGTGGGTCGAGTTGAAGCCATTTCCGAGTGACTGATTTTTTTAGCTGTAGCGCTGAAAATTTTTAATAAGTATTTGTCACTCATGTTCAGTCCCTCTGGAACAGCTTCCAACAAAAATATCATGATGGGTTGTTGAAGTCCCAGACCCAATATCGATTCAATCTTACTCTGACCATCCTTCCAGTAAGTCTTAATTTTTGTGCAGGAAAATGTGTGTATGGTTTGCTTCTGTGTTTCCRCAACCCCTCCAACAGTTAGATGCATTAGGATATTTATGAAACTTGCTGCTTTGGTGTTCGAAAAAAACGCGGCAAGTTTTTCCAACTAAACACTCGCCAGTAGTTTGAGGAGGAGGTTGAGGCAGCAGATTCGYACATATTGTCCCATTGTTCTTGTGACATTTCAGTGTCCAGCTCTTTCTCCTATCTTTTTCTAACATAATCTGTTGACATTTCTTTCGTTCTCAACAATCCTTGATAAAGTTTAGAAATGGAGGATCTGCCAGGTTTAGAGAAAGACTGAGATATTATTTGAATTATTTCTTTCCTCTTATTATTTGAATTATTTCTTTCCTCTTATTTTTAAGTCACATTCAGGATTTTAAGTGAGGGTTTAACTTTTTTACTGATTTACCGGATTGTGTTAAGATGTCGCTAAGAAATAAATCAAAAAGTTCTTGATATACAGTAAGGAGTAAGAAATTAATGCTAAAGAAGCCTTTCTAAATTGAATCTTTTTCTTCTTTGTTTGGTTATGTATGCTCCAAATACATAATACATTTTTGGAAAAGGTTATTTCTTTAATAATAATTTGTTATTTAACACTTTAATAAATATTGACAGGTATTGGCTTTTGGCTTGGACTAAATTTGGAATTTTGCCCMCCTGACYTACATTACATATTGTGCAAGATCAATAATAAAAAATAAAAATAAAAAAATAAACACAACGCAAAAACATTTTCTGATGCACAACAAGTTCTAACAGAGCACCCACTTTGAAGAGCCTTCTTTTGCTAATTGTTTACATTTCCATGATGTTTCATGGAATTCTGCCAAATAGTTTCRTTAAAATGCTATAAAGAAACAGGAAACATACAGCTCTGCTTTTGAAGAAACATAGTTATCTGTCAAGGCCATGACAGGTAATATTGGACAGATGCTCTCCTAAATGAGTTGGACCACAACAGTTCTGCTAAACACAACACAAATGTTAGAAAAAAGCTCTGATTTGCATCAGTTTAACCTGAAATAAGCACAGAATGACAGCAGCTCCTTTATAACTGGAGGCAACATGGAAACAAAATATTACATAACCACACAGATTCTAGTACAATGCGTTGGATGCAGTTTGTACAAAACATTGTGATCGAATAAAGTTATACAATTATACAGAGACAATCAGGAGTGGATACACTTTTTTTGGCTCTTCTATATTTTGTGAAGTTAAAATCAATTCTTGTCTTGGGATAAAATTAAATAAATGTAAAAGACAAATACCTTATCCTCAGCTTGCCAGGAATTTGCTTTTATTAGTTATTTCTGATGTTGTCGGCTTTTAAAAGCCAAGGAAAAGAGACCGATTTTGATCAGGAGTAATTAGATCAAGTTTCCAGGCAGTTTAGGTGGGGGTTAAAAATCTGAGTCGTTTTGGCTTCTAAATCTGAACAAGCAATAATAAATAGAAAACACATGCAAGTTGGATCCCTGCAAACTTAAAAAGCATAAACTTCTTTCCCCTCCACAAATRTAATTTCAGTCCCATTGCCTTTTATAAAAACATTCGTAGTATTTCATCATGTCCAGTCTGTCTTTGTTTAAACCAGATTCAACCTGGTCCAGAAAGACACAAATCAATTCCCAAACATGGTATTTTTAGAAGATGGTTCACACCTGCTTATAAGAGCACKGCTGTAATGAAAACAGCATGGAGAATTCAACAGTTCAACATATTTGTCCTCGTTTATTTTAGATTACAACCCTTAAACCATAGTGCAGAAATCACAATCAGTGCAGGTGACAGGTTTTAATGTCAGCTCTCTGGCAGGTAAAAGTTAGAATATTTAGTCTCTCTTTCKGTCAAACAAAGTGACCAACTGGTCGAGAGGCAGGAGGATAAACTGAGCTCAATTCTGCTTCAGTCTCTCACTTCGWGCTGAGACAATAAAAGTTACGTTTGGCATGCTTCACTCTCATATTTATACTCTGACGCTATAATTAGCACAAGTCAAAGAACTTGACACAACTTTTTTTTWAAATAATTTTCCATTATCAAACCAGCTTTCAGGTACACCACCTTTGGGCCACAGCTCAGCTCTTTATTATGACGGTTTTTGCTTTATAAGGACTTACTAGAAAAACAAAACAGTGAGTTGTGCATTAGCACAATTAAAAACCTATTAGATCATGTGAAACTCTCATCAGAAATCACCTCTTTCATAACACTCTTTCTAAATATTTTTGGAAAAAGCACTTCAGTGTTGCAAACAGAGTTACACTACTAAGATCTGAACAAAATTCACATGTTAGAAAACCCAGGAAAACCATTAAAATAGTGCCAAATATTTACTGATTTTAGTTGGAAGTTCTCAAGTTACTCAAAATTTAAGACCAAATCCATGAAGCTGCTTCTTGGTATAAAGAATGTTCACTTAAAGTTTTCAGAGCAGATTACTGTCATTTTAAARGACAGGAAGAGGTTGAACTATTTCTCAGATCAGGGTTTCTAAATATTTTCTGTTTAAAATGGGTTATTTTTCAACAGAGAACTTCATTACAGAGAAYCATGGTTTTCATTACATATTAGCAAAATAAAACTTAAATATGTAGATCTRTTAGTTTTGTTCTCCATTTTGTGTCCATTATCACTAAGTTCGTGTAGTTGTAGTTGTGTATTTGCAATTTCAACCTAAAGAATGGGAGTTAACTGCACTTTTTCTTTTTCTTCAAAGCTGTTTTGATTTTTCCCTCTCATCCCTCCTGAATCAGGACATTTTATGAGAAGATTGAATGTTTTATAGACATATTGTGCTCTATGAGAGGACGTATTTTAAGGATCTGTTAATATTTCCCTTGATGTCTCTTTGATCCACAAAAATAAAAAMGATCTGTCAGAAATGTTCAGCCAATTTTTTAATTTTTAGTTCTCCTTATCTTCCACTGAAAGAAACATATTACAATGAATAATCTCCATAAGAGAACTTGTTTTAAAAAAATGTGGTCGTTACACACTTTTTAAATTCTGACAGAAATATCCAACTCATTTTTTTATTCCTGACCTGGTAAAAATTAAATCTGCACGACTAATAGACACCAGTGGGGGAGATGCACTTTTTCATGGAACAGCTACTTTTTCAAGAAGGATCATGGGGGGAAAAAAACTATTTTATATTAATGATTTTGTTTAGAACGAAGATGTTTATTTCCACGGAAGAGCACTGCATTCACCTAATAAAAAAATTTGAGCTTTATAAAAACCCATCTGCTGGCCCATGAGATAATTTGTTAACAGACAGACAAACACACAGCTAAATATATTTATAACTAAAACCTATGATAAAATAGCTCCTGAATGCTAAAACTGTAATTAATATGGTCTGAGTAGAGTTCACCAACCCAGAGGAATTAATTCTAAATATTATTTATTATTTCTGTCTGATGGAATATTTACAGCAAGACTGTTAGACTGAATTTTGTCGACAGAGTATTGTGTTTCTTTCTGTGGTGATATACTGTGATCTAACAAGCAATAAGTCCACACAGTACAGACCGACTGCCTTCAGGAGGTAAAGAAAACCAGTAAAAGAGTTGTGCAATCAGGTTGCAAATGCATCCCAGAGTGAAGCCGTGAGTGTGTGCGTGCATGTGTGTGTGAGTGTGTGTATGTGTGCGTGTGTGTTGGGGGGGGGGCACAAACACAAACCCACAGGAGGCATTCTCCACTGCCATCTCCAGGAGGCCTCTGCAGGAGGATTTTCTAAGAACAAGGGTTATTTTTCAAATGGTTCCAAGGTGAAGAAAGACAGGACACTGAGGTCTGAAAAAAAATGTGCGTGTGCGTTTGTGTGTGTGTGTGTGTGTGTGTGTGTGTGTGTGTGTGTGTGTGTGTG